CGTTAAGAGTGATGTTGTTAAACAACTACCTAAATATGTACCATTTTTCAAGTAATACACACTAAATAGGCATAGCCAATTGAGGGCCCTTCAATCAACCACAATAATCACGTAGTTGAATAAGTAGAGAAAATCCAATGGCAAACTTATATTAAACACAATAAAAATATATCCTCCAAGAGGTTCCATCAAACCCTAGAATAAAGATTTTAGCTACTCATAATTGTTTGCACAACTATAATATAAGAATTCATCACCAATAATATAAAAGGGAAGAAGAAAGATAAAAACTCGTTTCCGAATCTTCTGTCTTGCTCCTTACTTGTTCTTGCCTTCAAAGATATTGTGTAACCCTCCACTAGTGTCTGCTCTCTAGAGTGGCAGCTTCCCCTTAAGGTTATGTTTTAGGATGTATTTATATGACCTAGGTAGGGTGGAGGGCCATCCAATACAACCCAAAATCGGATAGGAGAGCTGGAGGGCGCGCCTGCCTTCGCGCGTCTCGCACCCATGGATGCGGATTCAACTTGTGAAATTCTTCTATTTCGCAAAGTGATCTGTGCCTTTGCTTGACTTCGTTATTTTGTGCCCACTTTTCTCCTTTTTACAATAATTTGATATCTTTTGGTCCATTATCATCCAAGCTCACTTCTACAAATAAAAAATACGTAATAAATATAATTCACTTCAAAAATCATGTAATCTCCCGCAACTCACATGACAAATGAGATGAAAGTACACTCAAAATCATGCACTTTGACCATTTATCAGGTCCCCAAAAAGGTTGGGAATATATATTGGTTATGAATCTCCTTCTATTATCAAATATCTGGAGCTTATGACAGGAGATTGTTTACGACCAGTTTTGTAGATTGTCATTTTGATGAATCAAATTTTCCAACATTAGAGGGAGAAAGTAAACAACCTGAATAAGAGATAGATTGGAATGTATTATCTCTATTTAGATTCCCGTACAAATCAATGCGAAAAAGAAGTTCAAAAGATCATTTATATGCAAAATGATGCATTTACTAACCTTCCACGAGTTACCAAACCGCATAATCTAGCTGCAAATGATCATATTCGAATTGATGTCCTAGTAGGACAATCTGTTAAAGCAAATGAGTCTAAGACACAATTAAAACGTGGTAGACCAATCGGTTCCAAAGATAAAAATTCTCGAAAAGAAAAAATAATAAATGATCAAGATGGTCATAATATGGAGCTAGTTACTCAAGAAGAGCCACGAGACATAACAATGGATAAAACCGCAGGGGAGGTAGGTACCTAAAAATAATAAAAATGAAGAGATATCAATAAATTATGTATCAAATGGAAAAAGATGGAATCAAAATGATATAGTTGTCGACAATATTTTTGCTTATAATATTGTTGAAATAATGCAACAAGATAAAGATCTTGAACCTAAATCTGCCGATGAATGTAAAAGAAGAAATGATTGGCCAAAATGAAAAAATGTTATCCAAGTATAATTGACTTCACTTGAAAAACGTAAAGTTTTTAGACCTATAGCCTGAACACTAGAAGGTGTGAAGCCCGTGGGGTACAAATAGATTTTTGTGCGAAAAAGAAATAAAAAAAATAAAGTCGTAAGATACAAAGCTCCACTTATGGCACAGGGATTTTCGCAACGAGCTTGCATTGATTTTATGGAGACATATTCTCCTGTGGTGGATGCAATCACATTCTGGTTATCTTATTAGTCTGGCAGTACGTGAAAAATTGGATATGCGTCTTATCGATGTTGTCACAACCTATTTATATGGCTCATTGCACAACGAAATTTTTATGAAAATCCCTGAAGGATTCAAAGTGCCTGAACATATAAAGATACACGAGAAACTTATTCAATAAGGCTTCAGAAATTCTTATACGGATTGAAGCAATCAGGACGCATGTGGTATAATCGCCTTAGCAAATACCTACTGAAAGAAGAGTACAAGAATGACATTTGTCCTTTGCTTTTATAAAAGGACTAGATCTAAGTTTGTCTTAATATCTGTGTACGTTGATGACTTGAATATCATTGGAACTCCTGAATAGCTTCAAAGCCAGTAGAATGTTTGAAGAATGGATTTGAAATGAAATATCTTGGAAAGATAAAATTTTATCTTGGATTACAAACTGAGTATTTGAAAAATGGAATATTTGTCCATCAATTAACAATAACAATAACAACGATCCAGTGGAATCCCACTAGTAGAGTCTTGTCCATCAATCAATATACGCTAAAAATATTTTAAAGCGCTTTTATATGGATAAAGCACATCCATTGAGTACCCGATGGTTGTGAGATCGTTTGATATAAATAAAGATCCATTTTGCCCTCATGAAAATGATGAAGAGCTTTTAGGTGCTGAAATACCATATTTTAGTGTAATTGGAGCATTAATGTATCATACTAATAATTCTCGACCAGATATAGCTTTCCCCATAAGCTTGTTATCAAGATTTAGTTCTTCCCCAACACGAAGACATTGGAATGGTATTAAGCATCTATTCAGATATCTCCGAGGGACCATTGATATGGGATTATTTTATTCAAATGAATCCATGTCACAACTGATTGGTTATGCAGATACAGGATATTTGTCAGATCCACATAAGGGTGGATCTCAAACAGGCTATTTATTCACATGTGGAGTTACTGCCATATCATGGTGTTCAATAAAACAAATGATGGTTGCTACTTCTTCAAATCATGTAGAAATAATGGCTATTCATGAAGTGAGCCGAGAATGTGTTTTGTTAATATCAGTAACTCGACATATCCAGGAGATATGTGGTCTTTCATGGGGAAATGATATGCCAATAATACTGTATGAAGATAATGTTGCATGTATAACTCAACTAAAAGGAGAATATATTAATGGGGATATATTAAAGCACATTTCACTAAAAACAAATTCACGCATGATCTTCAAAAGAATGGTGAAGTAGATGTTCAACAAGTTGGTTCAAGTGATAATGTAGCAGATTTGCATTCCGACATCAACATTTGAGAAGTTGAGATATAGGATTGGAATGCGTCGTCTCCGAGATATCAAATAGAATATTTATCAGGAGAGAAATACGCGTTGCACTCTTTTTTCCTTGACCAAGGTTTTGTCCCAATTGGGTTTTCATGGTAAGGTTTTTAATGAGGCAGCTCTCATTGCGTATTACAAGATATTACAAGATGGTGTACTCTCTTTTTTTCACTAAACTTTTTTCCTACTGGATTTTTCTTAGTAAGATTTTAACGAGGCACTATTATTTTTTGAATGGACATCCAAGAGGAGTGTTATAAATCCACTTGCATAGAAGGTGGATGTTCAACTTGAGATTTGGAAATCTTGCCATATCTTAGGTTTGTCTTCATGTCTAGATTTTTGTTGATTTTGAGACTCATAACTAGATTTAGGAATTTATATGTAACAATGCAATAGTATCTATAAATAGGTTCATTGATGAACTTAAAGAAGATACTTTTTGAAACAAAAGAAAGAAACGTTCCTTTTTACTATTATTATTCTCTTCTATTATAATTTTAATTACATAGTTTTTGCTATATTGCTTGTATTTCATAACATCTAATAGTATTTGATTTTCTTGTAATATACGGGGTCACTTGAAAGCTTGGATAAATTATTGTCTTGCAACTTTTGCTTTACTTTATGTATTAGAAAACAAACATCCAAACGTTTACTTTTCCTTAGAAAAACTAGAACAAGTTATCCAAACAAAATTTAATTTTCTCTTTCGAAAGCCAACATCTGAAAGTTTGACTATTTATTTCTTAGTTTGTTCTACGAACAAAATATTTAGCCTAATTAGGCACTTCCATTTGTAAAGCCAATAAAGTCTTTAATCTTTTCGCCACTACAAGTTGAATTTTAGAAATATTATTTTTAGAGATAAAGTTAGGTCCAAACAACAAATGGTTAAGTGAACAAAATGCGAAGATTAGTAGCCGAGTTTATCGTTGTGTCTAACTTTTGAATTTATTATATGTGGGAATAAAAACGAGAACGAACAATAATTAAACTTAGGTAATAATTCGAAGATCTCCTAACAACTTACGAATTGGAATTGCACGCGTTGATTCAAAGTTGTGTGTTTTCTTTAACTTCTACCTAATATCAACTTACACACGCTCCATAGCTTTTCATTACTACATGAAAGGAGATTATACCATGCACCGTACAAATAGAAAACATATTAGAATAGCCTCATTAGTTACTGTGAATGGTGATATCTATGGAACCCAGTGGAAAAACCAGGATTCCTAATAATGTGATTTTTTCTATATAAAAATAAATTTTATTTTTTACGTTACTTGCACAGTATAATTTTCAAACAAAGGTGATTCAATTGAACCTTAGCTCTAGCGTTGGTTGGACAGATTAATTCGAATTCGCACAAGATAGGTCAACTAAGAGTGTAAAACTCCCTACCAAGAATTTTTTATTCCCAAACTTTTAATTTAGGGTGGAGTGAATCCAAACCATTCCACCACAACCAGGGGAGAATCCAGCTTGCGGCCTCCGGGTTCACGCGAACCTAGTAGCTTTTGTCCAAACAGTGTAAATGTGTTCCAAAAATTCACTAAATATCTATAAATGTTTGAATATGAACCCAATTACTATTGAAAATTTACGCTACGTCGTTGCAGGAACCCATAAACATTAAATCTTGGATCTGCCTCTAACCCCAACCTTAGATGCTATTCTCCAACTTGCTACACCCCAACACCTTCTACTCCTCAAGTTTATACGTAACATAGCTTAGCAATCTCTTGTCAATACCATTCTCTTGACTTAATTCTGTGATTAAACACTTACCATATTCTTAGCCAGTTACTCTTATTTGGAGGGAATGTTTTGACATGTTCAGATCACATTCACAGTAACTGATGAGACTACTCTTAACACACTACTTTCAGTTTTCCTTCTGCAGAATATGCACAACACTGGTTTGTCTTTTTTCTGAGAAAAGGATGCCAAATCTAAAGGTAATTCATATCACCACTTAGATGATTTTCCACATTAATATGCCTACTTGAAAAATTTTCCCCGTTTTTCAGTGTGCACAACAGGGAAGACCCAAAAGTTCCAAGCCCAAAAAGTTTACAACGAGTTCATCCGGCTTTTCTTATAGCTAGAGCAGTCTGGAAAAAGTCTAACTGGCTATAATATAGAAAACAAAGCTAGAACTGAAAAACCTTTCTAGCAACTAATATACCAAGGTAATATCTGCAACTGATAGATGCATCTTTGACGAGCTACTGAAGTTTTGAAGGAGAGGGTTGACGAGCTGCACCATCTTCCTCTTTGAAGATGACAACTTTGATCATCTCATCCGAGCATTGCTGCAACTGACTGCAATCCTTCTTGTCCTTATCCAGAGCTTCAAGCTCTACTTCCTCAGGAATCACTCCCGGAATATTCTGCTTTGGAGAGGTGGTCTTATCTGAGCATTGCTTCATCTGATTACCGTCGCTTTCGTCCTTAGCCAGAGCTTCAAGCTCTACTTCCTCAGGAATCACTCCCGGAATATTCTGTAGCACAGATGGCAGGTATGAAGGTTGCTGTAGGAGCTTTTTTCTCCCCAAATGCTGGAAAAGTGTAAAGACCAAAGGGGTTAAGGAAACACTTCCCTTTCTTTGCAGAATAGACCAGGATGAAGAACAGTGATACAACAATATACAGACACAAATGAGAAGGAAGAGGCGCTAAAATTGGTGATCCACAGATAGTCACATAATAATTTAGTCACCAAAAAAGAAAAAGAAAAAAGGATATTCATATCTCCATCCTTTCTCATTTGCCCGGTCAATGAGTTTCTTCAACAAATCCAGCTCTCGAGCAATCCTCTGACAGTAAAAAGGAAAGAGAAGAACCAAATAATTTTAAAGGTGGGTGGCATCAGATATTCATATGTTCCGCAAATACATTGATTGAAGGTACAAATAAACAGGTGAAGAATATTTTCATGTTACTGAAATGGAAGCTGAAATCATTTTATAACATTTGATCCGTGTTACAGGATCATATTCTGTATTCTCATGCTGATGGAGTATAAACTAGTAGTGTAAGACTGAAACCATACATGCTTTGTGATGTCTTCATGAAGGATTTTAGCCTTCTGTTCAAGCTCCACCTGCAAAAAGGATACTAAGTTTTGATGGTAGTACAGTAGTACTAAACAGAATTGGAGTTCAGATGAATCTATAACTGGAAAACTTGATGCACTGCGCTTTGCGCTTATATCTTTTCAGATATGTAGAACACCAACATAAAAGTACAGTAGTACTAAACAGAATTGGAGTTCAGATGAATCTATAACTGGAAAACTTGATGCACTGCGCTTTGCGCTTATATCTTTTCAGATATGTAGAACACCAACATAAAAGTACAGTAGTACTAAACAGAATTGGAGTTCAGATGAATCTATAACTGGAAAACTTGATGCACTGCGCTTTGCGCTTATATCTTTTCAGATATGTAGAACACCAACATAAAAGTACAGTAGTACTAAACAGAATTGGAGTTCAGATGAATCTATAACTGGAAAACTTGATGCACTGCGCTTTGCGCTTATATCTTTTCAGATATGTAGAACACCAACATAAAAGTACAAGCTTTCTAATACCTTAAAAATTTAGTAGAGGTGACACACAATTCAAAAGGACTCTCCATATACTAAAAAGGGAACTACAAAAGAAGCATTGCGTAAACTCGCAAGCTGGAAGACTCCCTCATGACCTCCCACTGGGCAAGAAGTGCACGAATCCATGTAACCACTATTGAATCACGTTGCTCGGCTGATCTGAAGTGGTGTTCTAGATGAACATATTCGATGTCCAGTTGTACTCCCATCTTAAAACCTTCCCATTAATGCAATTCTAAAGTCATCTTGTTCTCTTTTGTGGGAAAAAACATTCATGTGCCATGCCGATGGGAAGTCACATGTTGGCACTGTAGAGTTTACTCAAAAAGAAAGATGTACAATGGGTTTCAGCGAGGCATGCTTTTTATTTGAAATGGAAGACAGTAATAAGGACCAGCTACCAGGCACTTTTACTTGGTGACACAAAACTGAGGACAATATCAAGTACATGGAATATTTAAACTGCTAGAGACCAGGACTGGAGAAACTAAGCATCAACCTTCTTCGCATTGTAGTGACCCATTTTCCATCAACAACAATAAGGGAAAGGATTAGAAGAAGAGGAAGATTGAGAATTCACTTGTGCGCCAGTGATTATTTTAGACTGGAGAAACTAGCTCCCTATCGTAATCCATACTACAAGCTATAACGCTTAATAATCCATGAGAAATTGGTTGTCCGAGAGGGAAACCAGAGCTTGCACTGAGCAGTGCGAACAGAGAGATCACATCCTTTTTTTGGGGTAAAAATTAGCTGGAATATGATAGTTAAACATATTAAAGCTTTCAATGTTCCAGGAATATCCCAACTATGTTTCAGTGGGATAGCTATGTCAAAGTCTAGAGGTGGCAATTTGAGCCCAAACCCATTTGACCCGCCCAAACTGTCCAAGGTTGGGCTGGTCATTGACCCGCCGATTTGTTGTACTCGGCCCATCTTGACCCAACTCATTTCAACCCTTCTAAAGTTGGGCTAATATTTAGCCCAAATTGATCCATGAGTAATTTTGTTAAAATATCTTTAAAATAATTTTTTTTTTGTTTGATATGTTAAACATGATCATAATAAAAGAGAAAAAGTCTTATTTGATAATTAAATAATTCATAAAAAAATAATACAAATTTATTAAAGCTTGGTAAATGTTGGGCAGGTTAGACTATGACCCAAAATTTAGCCCAACTTGACCCAACCCATCTCAACCCAAGTTACTTTAGGGCGAGCCAAATGACTCGCCCATTTATTGACTCAGCCCTTTTTGACCCCCCCAAAATACCCACTCATTTGACACTCCTATATCAAACTGCAAAAAAAAAATACTTACAATTGTAGGCTTTTTAAGCAGGCCTTTTTTCACCTTCTCTCTCAGATCATCACATTCTTCCTGAAACACAGAGTAAAATTCAAAATACATAGAGTTAAAGGGTCAACTACGAAAGCTTCCTGCCAGATTTCCTCACTGTTAAGGTTTTTCTCAAGTATAGAGGAATATATGTAACAGCTTCAAATCAAGTAACGTTGAGATACTATGTAGTATTCTGAAGAAACAAAAACTAGCTTCCATTTGGATCTAGAGTTACTAGAAACGTTCAATCAGTTTTGTCCTCCACAGTTAAAAATACTCAAAACGATCCCAAACTCTCAACTGAAAAGTAGATGGAAAAGGGAACAATCAGTAATACCTTCCTAATAGGCCTATAATATTTTTGGATAAGTATTTCTCATCTATACTGTTAAAAGCGCGAAGCCTCTTAGCGAATGTCGTGCGCCTTTTTACCCTTTAAAAATTGATGTCACATTGGACAAAATTGTAATTGTGTATTTTAATTATTTTCCTAATACAATATAGGACTTTAAAATCAACTAAATTTTATTTATTAAATTCTTACTTATTTGGACTATGTAAAAACTCCTAATATGTAGGAATTTAAACTTGAGTAAGTTTATTTTTATAAATCTTTTCCTTATTCAACTTGTGTAACTATTCACGATTCTTGACATGTTAGGAATTGTAATGAAAGCTTTTCTTCAAAGTTTGTGTTCGTTTTTTTTTAGTAGAATTAAACACTTAAGAATCATGAAGCATGTTTTTAAAATTCAATTTTTTGTTGCCTTCTTTTTGGACCATGTGAGTAGTGGTAACTCTAATTTTTTGACATTAACACAAATGTCTAAGGTGACTTAGAAACTATTTTTTTTAATATAAACCTTTTAATCATTAATGATGGAAAACACATACATCATATTATACATTAAATACAAACGTCACTTAATCATTTTTTAATATTCAGAACTTCAACATTAACTAATTTTTTGATATAATAGGAACTCCTAATATTTAGAAGTTAAAGAAAAAAGATTTTAACTTAAATAAATTATTTTCTTATTTGAATTGCGTAAAATAACCATAACTCTTTAATCTAATTCATGTTCAAAGAGAAAAACCAAAAATTTAATTTTAGTTTTTTATTTATCAAGATCTAATAACAATCATGAATATTGAAAATGAACGAACTACATTTTACCCGTTTTAACAATTTTGTTTTAATATTAAATAATGATCAAGAATATTAAGGTATATTGTCTTCTCATCCAAATGATAAATTCAATTAAAATTACTAATTGTTAATTCAAATGAGAGAAATGAGTTGGGATATAATGATGAACAAGAAACCAAAAACGGCAATGTCCACAAAGAATAAATAAGAACTAATAGTTATTAAAATCAATAATATTAGTCGGTACTCCTTCTATATTCAAGGATATTTTAGGCTCTCAGACTCTGTTCCTTTTACTTTGTAACTATATATGATATTTTAATCTCTTTTTAAATGTTACTATCACTAAAGCTAATATTTTAAAACTCATTGTAATATTAGGTAATAACCACAAACTCAAAGGAGAATTTTCATTCTTTGAAGGAAAAAAAGAACATCCTTTTGGAACTTTGATATAATAGAATACTTGAGGAGAAATTTAATAGTTAGAGAAAAAAGATGCTATAGTAAGATTAGTTCGGTCAAAGGATAGAAATTTGAATAGTGAGATATCATATTTTCTTTAAGGTTTGGTTTAGAGATAGGTGGAAAGCTCAAAGATAAATCAAAGTTAGAGCCATTTTATGAATGATGATAATAGTTCATTCGTCAAAATTAATTAGAAAATACATTTGAAAAGCTCATTATAATATTAGGCAAGAAAAATAATTAATATTATCTTATATATTTAGATTTTAATTTATAGAGAACTTTAAATTCAACTAGATTTCTGTCCATTTAAAAATTTGATAAATTTGTGATGGACAATATCTCTTTGTATTCAAGTCAATTATAGCATTTTTTTGAGACGCGAAGGAAGAATCTATGAGTTGATCAAAATCGGGGTCAAATGTATGTGGTGTTTCAATTTATATTTTTACATTAATCTTTTATTTTAAAATTTTATCTTATTAGTGCTTTCATTATATGTTTGAGAATTTCTGTATGGCAATATTTTTTCCTTTATCGATCAATCTAAAGATGATTAATATTATTTATTTTCAAGAACTTACACTTTTGAATTTTTATTTTATAATTTTTTGGGTAACATTTTATTTTATAACTTAACTACATTATTTAATAATATATTATTATTTTTAAATTATATACTTATTGAAATAGGTACCAGTGTGCGCGTACACTGAGACTACTTATTGTAAAAGCACCAAGAGGTTGCTCAAAAGACTACAAACAATATGAGCGCAGTCCAGAGGCTCTAGAATGCTATCAAACATAGATCTAACACCGATGATTACATTATTTTTAATTTGATCATTACGCAAAAGAAAAACAGCTTCACAAAGTTGAGAATATTGGTAACCCAAATGAAGCCAGTCTACAGTCACTGGGTTTGGTTTTCACCATAACTGAAAAAAAGGTATGAATATATGATTTCTGCAGTGCAGACTACTCCTAATTAAAGGGTCAAAAAGTCATTTTCCTCCATTCAAAATAGAAAAGGATAGCTAATCCACATGCTACACTGCCCAATGCCCATCATTGGGTCCAATTGGGATCTTGACCTAGGTTGAAATCTTAATTTAATGTCACAACACCAAAATCTGAGACAGCCAATGACAACACCTTCTTAAAACAAAAGAAAACCTATGATTTTTTTAGAAGAGCAACATTATGCTTTGGCACACCTAGCTTCATTTACACTTGGCCAAGAGCAACATATATAACCTAGAAAATAATCAACATCCAAAAGTAACTACTTTTTTTGCAAGGCAGCTGTGAGCAGTTTGGACATCCAACACCAAGTTAGAAGAGTGACAAGTATTTGTACATGCAAGACTTCGATTAACAACATTTAATCTCTGTATCTCATGAATGCATTGGTAGAATGATCATATAAAGGTTGTGTATATCTGCCTCCTCAAAATGAGCAGAAGTTTGGTGGACTTTTGAGCAGGCATACGAAAATATTCACAGTCATTTGCAGTATATGTAGCTGCAGAATCATGTCAAATTATAGGTAGTGATCGAATAGACAGATGTCTAAAAAGAAGAAGTAGGTTACCTTAGAAAACTCATCATCAGAAAGCATGGTCAAGCAAACATCTGTGGACATATTTGAAACTTGAAGAGAAATCTCACTGTTGCACTCATCGCTTGATCCGCGTTTGATCCCTGAGAAAACTCGCTTGAACAAGAAAGAAATCAGTTTGGAAGCAAGCTGAAGATTAAGATCTTAAGGGAAGATAATATTCTATATAAGACTTGTAATAGATTTGAAAGAAGTGCGCCTCACTCTCTCCATCCCATTTACTTGACCTGCTTGCTCTTTTCTCTCCCCAATTTAATCATATTCTTTAATAGATTGATTTGTCTTATTTTCATCATGTCATATCTTTTGATGAAGTTTTCATCATGTCATATCTTTTCAGTGATCTATGCCACTTTATTCACATTTCAATTTTTTACTTCAAATTTCTCCACATCCTATGAAGTTTAATTCTAGTAACCTATATTTAATTTTCTCTCTCAATATTGGTGTTAGTCGAACTAGGTCTTCTACTCTTCTTCCGGATGGGAGAAAACATGTTTTAGTTTAGCAACCGTCAACCTCCGTCGCGAAAAAAGTTGTCCAATCCGGAGTCAACTCATTTAATTCTCTATGTGAATTCAGACATTGACTTTTAAATATTTTTTAAAAATATTTACATATTTAAAAGTAAGATAGAAATTACTGCTAATCACCCTTATTTTGGTAAAATCTTATTTAAACTTATTCTAACATATTTGTAGTCAAAGAAAGATACAGGTTGACTCTGGGCAGAGGAAGTATAATAAAATTTAAGACCGAATACGGTTTATTTGTTCCAAACAAAATACAGAAGGGTGTTAAGACGATATTGTCCTCACAGCATTAAGAACTCAGCAAAATGACTTACAAAAGGAAATCTGGTTCATGGGAAGATGAAAAACGAGTTTCAACTTTCAACTTTTATTTCATGTGCTATTAGGAACATTATATTTAGATGCTTGAACAGATTATCAATGACATGATAACAACAAAAGGTGAAGGAAACATAATCAATTAAAATGCGAAAAAACAGGCTTTCTGGTTAGTTACTGTCCAATTATCCAAAAACTTCTTATGGAAGACGCGAGGGATGTTTGGCAACTATTTCAAGATAAATCAAAGTATGAAGTCAAGTTAAAACAACCTGCAATTTGCACAAGCTGATGAGAGTTACTCCGCCTGTAATCACGTGGATCTAACTTGATCCGGACAAAACTTCCTATAATCTTTGCTTCTATTGGCTGAGGCTGTTTGATAATCTCCAGCACCAAGCTCCTCCTCAGGTAAACAAGTTTGATATTTTCAGGAATCAAGGCTGCAAACGGACTCTTAGCTGCGGTTGAATACTTAACTGACAACATCTTGTTTTGTTCAGCTGGACTTTGAGCTGCAGTGGAATACTTAACTGAGGACATCTTGTTTTGTTCAGCCTTTTTCTCAGCCACCAACTTTTCTGTGTCATTGTCTTCAAGATCATGATCAAGCTTATCCTTTTTCGATCGCTCCTCATTTTCAATGAAGTGGCTGTCAAGGAGGCTATATATTCTGTGTCTGTTGACCTCTTTCTTCCCAAAAACAGCTTGTAACCAAACATCACAAACGATCCTTTTCTTTTTAACTGGATGGATAAGGTTATGTTCTTTTACATATTTACTTATGATCGAGGTCACATCATATTGAGATAATTTTTCTCTAGTATCTTGGCCAATAAACTGAAGAAAGTCAATTAGAGCTTTTGATCCCCATCCGACAAATTCATTTTTCTTTGACTTTACTCTTCTTTGCATCTTTGTTTTTTGCTGTGTACATCTCTTCTTTTTAAGTCCTTTCTTGTAAGGTTCTCCGTCATTTAAATCTCCATCGTCCGAAGCGAATTGCTCATCCTCTTCACTAAATTCATCCTCTTCATCACTACATTTATCAGAATCAGAGTTAATTCGGCAACTTTTTTCCTTGTCTAGTTGAGCCTTAGCAGCAAGAACACTGTTTTTGTCAAAGCCTTCTTTTTCCTTTACTATCTCGTAATACTCCCTGAAAAGGCCCTCGTATGTTTCCCGATCTCTGAGGTCTACGCATTCCTGGAAAACAACAATCATTCATATGAGAAATGAAACAGATTACTCCATCAACTACTGGATTAACAGAGCAAATAAGAGAGGAAGATTATAGCAAGAAATAAAAGAAGACTCCTCTAACTGAATATTGCCAATCTGATAATAGTGATAAATCCACAAGACGTAATCTTACATGCTCAAACCGAGGAAATGTTAGCTGTTAAATAGAGTTTGTGACAAAAAAGATCAATTATCATAATATCCACCTCACATGTAGCTAGAATAAATTCAACTTCGGAACCCTAGAAGAAGAAAATCCAGAAAACATCAAAACGATGATCCAACTTACGCCCCGTAAATACAACATTATCTACCGAGCTCCTCTCCTGTTAAACCAGTGTGAAGCCACTTCGTAAGAGACAAGTAACTTTTTAAACTTCCATAAAATACAGTTCACCTTCCAAATTGAACAGGATTTTCTGTCTTTTTCCTTATATAATCTCTATTACTTCTTTTTAATAATCACAGATGAATATAGATAGTATTTTAAAGAGAGACTCATAAAGCATCTCATACTTTCCTATTGTCGAGCCTGTTGCGTCTCAAAGTGCTTTCGAGATTTGGCTTCATTTATCTCCTACTATCATGAATATAACACACAATTATATGTAAATGCTGTAAAGCGTCATGCTAGTAAGGTGCATGTTCAAGATATTTCCTGGGCTAGTTCAGTTAAGTTCCCATGACAAGTTTTCTTCAGATGTAAAGATAAACATTTCCAAAATAGTAAAGTAAGTAATTAATTAGTACTGAACCAAACATTATAGTTTGAGAATAACCATAATAGTCATGCATACCCCATCAGAATCAACATTCACGTCTTCTTCCACGAGCAATGCGAGCTTTAAACAGTTATTGCAGAATCCATACTTCCCTTTAAGAAGGACAAACTCGACTCGACCAATGCACCGAGAGCATACAGCTCTATCACAACAATAACAGTGATAATTTGGACTTCTCAGGCAAACTAAGCATTTATGCCATCCTGGAACATGGTAAAACTGATGTTACTTTTCACACAATTATTTAACTCTATGTAATGAAAAGGCAACACATGCCCAGAAGATAAGTACTCAAACTAAAAATATTTGATTGCAATCTAATGTGTTTGAGATTACAGACAAACTCATTTATTTCAGAAGCAGTTACCACATATATACTCTAGCATTGTAATTCATCATTACAAAAAAGTGGTGCAGTAGCAATTTGGAGCCAAATAAAGCAATTGGATTTATTCTAATATATTTTTGTAATTTAGAGGCAAAATTGTTTCTAAATCAAACTCAGCACTCCAGAAAATGTGATTCCAACAATCCATGTCTTAGTATATTAGTACTATTTTAAGCCCTTATATTTTCTCTAGACTCAAGTATATTATCATATTAGAATCAAGGATTGTTAAGCATACACACGTACGATTTAAAGAGACCTAACCATACAGAATTATGGCTTTGATTAGGTGACGAAATTCAAACTTGTATCTACATATTAAGGTCTTTTTTTATAAAAAAAAATAAAAAATCTAAGTCTACTTTTGAGCTTAACAATTTCCGTATAGTAATTTATCTCCAAATAATGAGAAAACAATTCCTTATGCAGTATTAATTTCAGGATTAAATCAGCACTAAGCATACTTGCTCATCCTGAAATAGGGCTAGCCACCAAATACTTTTAATTTTCTTTTTGGTTCCTTTATATTTTTATTTTCCTCCTGACTTGTGCAACAAATAGAAAATCTAACTACACAAAGGAATAAAAAAAATACTGGCTCTAGCAAAGAACAGTTTTCCTCCTTCCTCTCTCTGCGAGTAAATTTTCTCCAATACCATGCAACTGCATCAAAAATACTGTACGGAGAAATGTGAGACCCCCCGAAACTGCCTAGAAAGTAACTCTTTCCAATTGTGCCAAGACAGTTAGCAAAAAATTTCACAATGAAGTAGCAAAAGAAGCTATATAAGGAATAGTGGTGCTTTTGTTAAATATATTGTTGAAAAGCAAGTATCTCAGTTTCTATTTGTGCCACAAGTTGATTAACAAAAATCTCAGTTTCATCTTGCTTGATCAATTTGACACTGCACGAAGTTTAAGAAATTAATTTGCCAAGATATTGCATCAGTAGGTGTAGAGGAAATGTCACATTAACTCTTTGAGTCTGAATATGCAAATTATTATTGAAGCTTGCATGCTAACATTCTTAGAGAATATGATTTGAACTATAAAACATTGACCAATTTGTTGTAAAATCATCTGCAGCTAGTCACTAAAAGTTATAGAGGGGTTGTCTCAAGTCTTTCTCAATCTTGGTTTCCTCATCACTCAAAATCAACAAGAGCTTTTCATATGCTATCATCAACACAACCATAATCTCCAAGTTAAGCTTTGTGCATTTAGAATGGAATAGATTCATAATCAATTCTCAAGTAAACTTTTTCTCTTCCCCATACTGATGTATTTTCCTAGTTTGATTTTTGGTGCTGTAACTAAGAAGGATTGACAAGATCAGTTCTTCAATATTTGTTTTTGAAAGCACAAGAGATTAAATATTAACTTTTGTGTTATTGAGGAATGGAATAAGAAAAGTTGTATTCATCAATAGGGCAGCCTGATGCACAAAGCATCCGTTCATGCAGGGTCCGAGAGAGGCAGGACCCCAAGGGATTGACGTAGGCAACTTATCCTGACATGAGCATTAGTGGCTTCTTCCACAAATCGAATTATGACAATTACGTATCAATCACCTTCAATTATGACAATTACACTCCAAAAATATTTCCAAAATATTTTAATATTAAGTATTAGAAATATCAACTTTGGTAGCTGGAATAAAATTGCTTTTGGAAATCTATTATTCATAAAGGATATTTTTCTCCTCCTGATGAAATGTATATCGCTGTGGTATCCACACCAGCTTGCGTACGCTTCGACTAATTGATTGGACATCTGCTACTTCCAAGTACCGGTTCCCAAAGACGTTATTCAAGCTCCTAGCCGCTAGGCCATCGTTTTAGAGATTGTTTGGAGACGATTAACTCAAAACTATTAAGAGTTTACTATACATGTGTCAATATTTTCTTCTCACAATGTAACAAGTGACATAGGGAATTGGGATGGGAAAGTTGGACTCTTCTCGGTTGAATCTTTCTACCATAGAGGATGCTGGAAGATAAGAAAAGAAGCATAGAACAACAAGAAGACTTTGCTTTTTCACTTGGCTAGGAGCAAGAGGGGCCATCCTTACTCTCGAGAACCTTAGAAGCAGGGAAGTAACACATGTAGATTGTTCCGACATGTGCAAGAACTTGAGGGAAGATGTGGACCATCTTATTTTGCACTACAAGGTTCACCAATTGTGGGGGAGCCTATTTGAATTTCTCCGGAGTACAATGGGTTGCGTGTGTTATGATTAAAAACATGCTCCTTAATTAGGCCTTCGGAAGAAAAAAGACGACGAGCATAGCATGGGATGTATACCGTTTGTACTTATGTGGACAATATTTTTTTTTTTGATAAGGACTTATGTGGACAATATAGACGAAGAGAAATAGGAAAGTTTCTGAAAGGAAGGAAAACTCTTCGTAAATTAGAAGAACTCCTTCATTTGTGTAAATTACTAGTAAAGTTCAGGCATTTTGAGTTCACACAAGAAGTGAGTCAGAGTAGGAAATGTACTGGAGTCATCTTTTGAGGTTAGGATGTTAGAAGAAGTCGCACAAATATTTTAAATAGTCTGGGCATGGGTCAAATTTTGAAGAAAGATGTCAATAGTTCTTATGTTGAGTTCTAAGTGTTGGTATAAACCATTATCATTGATGTGATGCTTGAGTAATTTTTGTTGAAATGTGTTTCTTGCCATTGTGCTTAATTTTGAAAGTTGCTCGAGGACGAGCAAGAGTTTAAGTGTGGGGTGTTGATAAAAGGCTAAAAATGCATATTTTTTTGGTGTACTTTCATCTCATAACTTGTGTGAACGTGGGAGATTACACGAGTTTTTGTAGTTAATTATGCTAATTACGTGCATTCTTATATGTAGGAGCAAGTTGGATTAAAGATGAGCCAAAGAAGTTATTTGGGACCAAAAGACAAGAGAAGTACTTCGCTCGTTCACTCTTGCATGCACACGAGAAAGTGAACGAGCTAGCTAAGGAGAGCTTGAAAAAAAAACAGCGGATTATGGCAAAAAGGCATGGAAGTGCACGAGAGACCTAGAAGGAAAAAAAAAAAGAGAAGAACTTTGCTCATTCACTCTCGCGTGCGCACGAGAGAGTGAACGAGCTAACCTGAATAGTCTATTCAAAATTGGCTTGTATTATTTCGCCCCATGCTAACCCTATCCCATATAAATAGTCTTTAAACTCACTTTTAGGGGGGAGGGGGGGGATTCGTCCTAAGAAGGGGGAATTCGGCCTAAGAGCTTCGACCTAAGGAGGGGGATTCGGCCTAAGGAGGCAAGAACACACAAGGAGATCAATTGGGGAAACAATAACTCTAGACCTTCTTAATCTTGTCTCCAACACTTAGGCCTCATTTGTTTGCACTTAATAGAGGTCTGAATCTTAATCATTCAGATCTCAGACATTAAGTGCGTTTGTTTTTAAAGTCTGAATCTTAATTATTCATATCTTAATCATTAAGGGTGTTTGTTTTTTTTACTTCACAACCACTTAATGGGTCTGAATAGGTCTGTATGATTAAGATCTATAACAAAGACTTAATTTCATTAAGATGATATCATATATTCATTATTAACTGCCGCCGCCACCTACCATTATCAACTACCACCATGCCACCACCATCAACACGCCACTATCATCCTCAATCATAGCCGCCACCATTATTGACCATCACCACCCACCATCCCACCACTCTGACCACCATCATTCTCACCCACAATCAACACTCATCCACCTCAACTACCACAACTAACCATCCTATCACCATCAACAACCACAGCCGGCACCGCCCATCATTATAACCTGCCAACCCATTACCTTCCTCATTCACAATTACTACCACCACCTGCCATTATTAACTATCACCACTTGTCACCACTTGTCACCACCATCATCAATCATAATCGCCACCACTACCAATCACTACTAGCTACTAGCATGAACTACCATCATCAACCAAAACTACTACCAACCACCGTCTCTAGTCGGCATTCACCCGTTAATCATCACCACCAACAGCTATCATATTTTAAAAAACTATATATTTATTGATAGAATATTAGATTAGTTAATATTCATTTGAATTTTATGTTTATTAATTTTCAAATAAAATATTTTTTATACATTCAGATGTTAAAAATCAAACAGTCTTAATTTTTAGTATTCAAATCTTAATACACATCTAATATATTCAGATATGTAATCAAATTCAGATGTTTTAATCTTAATACACACCTTGATGTTCAGATGTGTATTCAGATTCAGGCGTCTTAATCTTAAAAAAACAAATGAGGCCTTAGTATCTCTAGTTGTTAATTTACTTTTTTTAATTTTCTAGTTAATTAATTAGACATAAGAATCTTGATTTTTATAGTGTTAGAATAGTTATGTGAATAAGGTGGCCGGAAAAGTGACCTAAACAGTGACAGACCACTGCTTTCGCTGAAAAACCACTACTCTTGCCGGAAAACACTTTTTCGGTAACTGAGAAACCACAAAATCTCGATGGGTCGAGTCGGAAGAGGCAGGCAACCAGCCCAGTAGAAAAATCAGACTTGAAAGATGCCGGAAAATTACCTCACGCGCCGAAACCCTAACTGCCGAAGGCGCGTGATAGTGCGTGTGAAGTTTTCTACCGGAGAACTTCACTGGGTTTGGTCGCCGGTGACAGGAGAACCTTGTGGTGGTGTTGGATTTGCACAAACCCCACTGAAACTCAGATTGACGTGAACAGCTGCTCAAGTCACCGGAAAATTACACGGTGACGACGGATTTCTTCCCGGATGTCATTGGAATGACGCACAACGATAATTATATACCATGTGCGAATGCTTGAGAAAAATCTATTATTGATATTCTATGTTACAATGAGCCCTATTTAAAGTATACATAACACATAACCTACTCCTATTATATATGGGACTAGGTAGGGGTGGGCATCAGTCGGTTCAGTTTAGTTATGAATATTATCGGTTATCGATTTACAAATTTGATAACCCGATAACCGAACCGATAAGATATCGGTTAATCGATTATCGATCATTATCGGTTTACCTGATAAAATAACTCAATATAGAGTTAAGCAAAAAAGAGAAACAATTCATTGGAGTTAAGCAAAAAAGAGAAAAGAATTCACATATAGTATACTACCCATTTCTGCGTTCTGTCTGGAGGCCACAATTGGAATAGTACTAATTCTTCAACAGCAGTTGTCCAAATACATTAAGAGAAAATACATAAAGACCCCATTCAACTTGTCCTGAAAAATCATTTACATATCTAAATTTTACGGGTGTCCTATTACCACCCTATTCTTATCCAAGATGAATTTATTTAACCCCTAAAATGTCACAACCAAATTCTACCCAAGTAGTGTTTACACACGCTGAGACGTGGCATTTTCGCAAGTTTTTTCATTTTTTTCTTTCTTTGACCGGAATAATCGTCCCCCTCCCCCAACCGAACCTTTCTTTCTCTCCTTAAAAATATTCCAAATATATTTATCAAATTTTCCAGCTTGCCTAAGAAATTTCAGTCACATTTGTTGGATCTCCATGGGCAATCAAATTACAACTAAAGAAGTGACTTTTTCAGAAAAAGTTTTTTTGATGGAACCTTTGCAAGAGAAACTAGCTGACTATATTGACAAGAAAATGATCTCTTTTTTTGGGGTTTTCTCGTCAATTTTCTTCTTCCATCTTGGTCGAAAAATAAATATATAAAGTAAAGTTAATGTATAGAGCACAACCGCAAAGCAAGAGGAAGCTAAGAAAGATTCAATAAAGTGTTGGGTTTTCGTTTTCACCTTAGTTGTTTGCTCCGGCCAAGCTGTGAAGAACAATTTGAGGGTGGAGGAGATGATAAAATAGGTGTAGAAAGAGCTATCAGTCTTTAATTTTTGTTCTGTTACGATTATGCTTGTATGGTGCTGCTCTCTTGTGATAATGGAGGAAAGAGAGAGAAGAAAAGGAAAGAGGAAGGAGAAGAAAAGAAAACAGGAAAATGAAAATAAAAAGGGTTAGTATTACATCAAATACAACTAATTAAGTGTAATTAAATGTAACAACTAATGGAAAATTATCATCTGTAAAAGTTAAGTAGCTTTTTACAGTTTCTCAGCCTTCCGCGCGCTTTAAGTAAGGTGAAATTAGTTTCTCTGCCACCTCACCTTTGAAGGGGGTACTAATTTCACTTTGAATAAGAATAGGATGGTACTGGACACCCGTAAAGTTTAGGTGAGTAAATGATTTTTCAGGACAAGTTGAATAGGTTCTTTATGCATTTTCTCATACATTAATAATAATACAAAGTAGTAGCAATTTCACCTTAAAATTAACAAGTCCAAACATATATTACTAACAGTCCAAGATAAACTGGATGTTGTTTGTCAAATGCCTAACTTGAAAAAAGAAACCATAGAGCAAAATCTTGATCTGTGCATGGGCAATACTAACACAAAAATGAAAAACGCCTAGAAGGCAAGAAAATATTGTCATGATGTCAAAGCTCAGCGTACTGTACAGAAGAATAATGTTCAAAAATATACCCGAAACTGACGAAGATTGTCGATTGAGAATTGATAAGTGCAAAGAGAAATTGGTAGTAGTTATAGGCCGCATAACTTGAGCTCACAAAATTAAGAAATGAAAATAAAAAAATAAAGAATCATTAACCGACAAAAATACCAACATGAAGATGAATTTTGTTATAGAAATTAAAAGCCTAATGTATAAGTCTAAAGACTTACACTAGGAGTAACTAGTAAGGCCTATGAAGAATGAAGATGAAGCAAATGAAGAGTGCGACTGAGAAAGAATAGGAGAGAATGAACTGAAGCTCTAGCATATGTACATACTTAAGGGTAGAGTCGTAATTTTATTAATTCTTATTGGGTTATCGGTTAACCCATTAACATAATTGGCAACCCGAGGCCCGAATCAATCAATAGTGAAAAAATTCTAAATCGTTAACTCAATTACCCGATACCGATAACCCAATAAACAATTAACGGTTCGGGTTATCGGTTTTATCCGATATATGCGCAGCCCTAGGACTAGGACTAATTACATATATTCACATAACTATTCTAACATATAGCTTAGAAATTATTCGAGCTTGTCTTCTTAGTGATAGTTAAGAGTTACAGCCAAATCTTAGTTCTTTGTGGGATTCGACTCCGGACTCTTAGACCGGATTATATTTGCAGTGATCGCCTATCCTTTTTAGGACTAGAGTTGGGCGTGATCACCACCCTGCCTAATAGGAGCAGTTTTGCACAATTTATTTACCCATGTTTTGCGACATTGTTTGGCTGGATGCTACTCTTGACCACCTGATAGAAACAATGTTCAAGAGTAACCAAACTAAATTAGCGAATTCCATATGGAAAGCACGTGAATTGGCTCCCCAATGCAAATTTTCTCTTCATATATACCTTGAAACCAGCAGCAGAATCACTTATTACAAGAGGGAGATTAAGGAGATGAGTTTGGTGGGCTTATGAGTCCAAACTTTGGAATTTTTGAATAGGTTTGGAATACCTGAACTGCTCCAGTGGAGATCAATGTGGTTCATAAATTTGGATGAGAAAACAAAGCTGATTTATAATGAGCAACATATAAAAGCAACGCTTTGGTGCATAAGTGACCAAAGGCAGCTGAGCATAACTAGCAAGTTGTTAAGATTTTAAATGTAGCATCCAGCCATCAAAAGATTCCATTGAGGCAAGATAAGAGTGAAATTACAATGGATCCAAAAATTAAACTTTATTCCTAAAGCGGCTAACTGGCATGAAGGGGAACTTCAGCAACTATGGACGGCATACCATTACAGGAGGAATCATGTATCCTTGGAAATTTATTCCTTAACGAGAATTATTTACTTGCAAAAAAAAAAAAAAAAAAAAAAAAAAAAAAAAAAAAAAAAAAAANTAATGTAAAAAAAAAAAAAAAAAAAAAAAAAAAAAAAAAAAACAAACCCAGCTTACAACAAATATTTCCTGAACATTCAAATCATTGGAAACCTTGTTTGTCAAAGTGGCGTCTTTCTAATTCCTTGAACACAACAGACAGTTTCAAGTGACTTCTCCTACTATATAACTTAATGTCCTCCCTTTTACATTGAATCTTCATCAAAGAAAACTATTTTGGTTCATCCAAGTAACTATGATAGGGTAAATAGGCAAGGTTGCAAAGCAGTTATCTAAGGAGAGCAGTTCATATCCCTTTTCATTTTAGTATACATGGAGAAATGGCAAAGACAGTTTTTTCTTCCAGTGTTTATTTTGGAAAATCTAAATATAACAGAACTCAAAATTCAATTGCCTTTTCTCGCTCAATATACAGTATGCTTTGTCATGCTTCACTTTGGCTATTCAAAATCGATAAATTAGCAAAAGAAGAAATACTACAGACAAAACAAAAGGAGAAAGAGTAAATTTAGAAATATTAAATTTGCTTAAAGGAGAATGAATTAAGAGGCTTGCCACATATCCAACGTTTATCACTTGTCAAAAACGAGTCAGCTATCCCCACACATTCAGGGTGATATGCTTTCAAGCATTGCCTGCAAAATCAAAAATATATTATTTAGTAAAAGTCCATGTAGAGAAAGAAATTAGTCACCAAGTCACAGGGTAAACATCAGCAGCAAAGGTAATCAATCACAGTGCACCGTGAACTTCTTTAACCCTTTGAGTTACGAGAAAGGAAATGAACTGCAATTGCGACGAAAGTGAATGAACCCCAAGAAACTGAATATAATTTTGCATACGGACTGTGTAGAAAAGATTGTTTACATCCATTAAATTAGAGGACGTGCTTATTTACTATAGTGTGCCACTGTTTCTCGAAGATACACAATGTATTTATCCGTACTTTCGCTTTCTCAGTTGAACATGGCCTAAGTTGAGAGGAGAAAGACAAAAGCATTATTGTATTCAAGCAAGTGCAATAAACTGTAGAAATGATCTTACATAATCATTCCTTAGACTGTATGCGAACATTGTTGGAAGAACGCCAGGGTGAACCCCTGGACCGGGACCACTCCCTTATCCTCACCAATTTGATTGAACACTAGCCCTCGCAACTTTGGTCTCCAATTCACCTCCTCTTTGTACAAGTGTTTATAAATTCTACTATTGCCCCTTACCTCATCTCCCTAATATACCCCCTTATCCACTTCCATAGGCAAAATTTCTCCTCTTATTCGCTACAAACCCCCTCCTCCAACCATAAAGCCCTCGATTTTTGTCTCCTACTACTCTCTTGAGCTATAGCCGGCGCAGTTATCTCTCTCTTCACCTCCTTCTTCCTCCCTTTTCCCGTCATCATTTCGCCGCTCTCAACTTTCCCCCAACTCATTCATAAGCTCTCTTCACATTTACTCTCCCAAGAACTTCCCTATTCCACACATGCATGCCCCTTTTAGCATTTTTAACTTCTTTGCGAGTTGGGATGATGGTTTGCCCGTGATTACAAATCCATTGCACCAGCCCGCCACTCTATGTTTGAAATCCGTTGCCTTTAGCCACATATTCTCAAATCTGAGGTGAGCTTGCATGTTTGTACCTCTACTACCTTCTAGTCTTGCATGATGGGAGAGTAGGACGAGATTAGCACTGGCAAGGGAATCTGAAGCACATTTGCTACCTGTTCCTCCTAGGAGGTTGACACCAAGAATCTAACAAGTCTTGATCTTGATGTCGATTCCTCCGCCTTTGGCCAATCCCAATCCAAGAAAGACTAATAAGAAGATGATTATCAATGAGCTTCGAGAGATCCTCCATTGCCGTTCTGCATCCCATCATTTCCTCCAGAAAGCTAATAATAGTATTTTGA